CATGCACAGGGCTCTGGGGTCAATCCCAGGATGGCAAAGAGGAAGAGGCGGAAGCAGCAGGAGGGTGGGAAAGGTGCAATTACTCACAGGGTTCCTGAGACCCAAGGCGGGGCGGGTCTGGGTCTGGCAGGCGCGCAGGTGTTGGCCGCAGCTGAGGCTGGGGGAAAGGGCCAGAGACCCTCCGGTGTCCTCACTCGACCCCCAGCGGCGAGTGCTAAGGGACCCGAGACTGTGTCCCGGTGACCAGAGATGGCCCTCCACATGAGTCCAGCCCACAGCACCCACGGGGCGGAGAGATGAGTGGTCCATGAAAAAGAAGTCACAGGCATGCAAAGGAAGAGGGGAACATCTGCGAAGGTTCCGGGGAGAGGCGGCGCCCCAGATGCTCCGTGAAGAACGGAGAGGGTTTCCCCAGCGAGGGGCCAGAAGCGGAGAGGTGTCCCAGGCAGCAGCAAGGGCACCGCGCACGTCAGGGCCGGGGAGCGGAGGCGGAAGGAAGGCAGCAGGGCTGGGTCTCGGGCGGCCGCTGCGCCCCGCCCACTCCGCCCTCCGCGAGGCTCCCACCTGTCCCCAGCCCCACCTGGAGGGGACACCAAACAGCCCGTGAGGCCCAGCAGGCACCAGTTGTGGGCTAGGCTCCGTGGACATCGGAGTGGCCGTTCTCCACCCTGTCCCTTGTCACTGTCCTTGCAAGACAGCTGAGACTCCTTGAGGCCGTCAACAAGCGGGTCACACGGCCTCGACACCTACCCTGGCCAGCGCAGATGAGGAGTCTTGGTGCAAAGGGAGGAGACAGGCGGAGACAGGCCGCACAGGGCCGGTGGTTTCCCAGGCTTGCGCCGTGGGGAGGGGCGTGGTGGTCGGTCACCTGCGGGGGTGCAGGCTTCCAGCAGCCTGGGGGTCTGGATGGGGACGGAACTTGGCTTGTCATCTGCCCAGAGCCAAGCCGCTTCCGGTCTCAGGCTGTGAGGGAAGGAAGGGACCACCACCCCACCCCCCCCACCCACCCCCGTGATCTGGAGATGGGCACCACTTCCTGTTTCTGCACATGCCACCCTTGGAGGGCGGCTGGGCCTGCCCTGGACAGGGGCATGCACCATACCTCAGCCTTCCGGAAGGCAGGCTTTCTTCCCAAGTCCCCTCCCCCGGGCCACAAGGGCTCCTGGGGGGCTTGCAAGGTCCCAGCTGTGAGGTAAAAGGTGAGGGGCGCCCTTTCCCTTCAAGGCCCCCAAAAGGTCTCTGGGCTGACTCTGCATTTTGGACCCCAGGAAAGGCGGGGCGGGGCAGCAGGCCCGCCCCCAGCCTGCCCCTCCCATTGTCCACAGAGAGAGAGGGGAGCGGCAGGGAGCAGGCAGGTCGCTGGAGCTCCCTCCCTCACCGGGGGAGAGGAAGAAGAGACAGGCGCGTCCCCACCCCGGTTCCCCCAGGCCCTGGCCTTCCCAGCTCCAAACTGGATGACAACCCAGACGGCTCGGCCATCCCGCTCCTCTGCTGCGGGCACCGGGCTCCCCGCCCCCACCCCACAATTGAAACAAAGTAGGAACAAGGGCTGCGACTTCCACCCCTGCTTCATCTGCAGCTGCGCGGGGATGGGGTGAGCAGGCTGCATCCGCACCCACAATGCGGAGCTGGCCTGCTCTTACCTCCTGCCCTCCCCTCCGAGAGATGGGGGGCCCTCGGGGGGGTCCCCAGGGTCCCTCCTATGCAGTCCCTGCTCCGCTGGCTCCACCCCTGTCGCCTTTCTTCCCGTGTGCGTGGGATAAAGTTCCCATCCTGGGACTGGAGGGATTCAAATTCATGAAACACAGACGAAGTCGCAGACCCAGAGAGGTGCTTCCCGGCCTCCCGGGGCTCCAGACTCCCCAGGCCTGTCTCAGAGCCGAAGGGTCACCCGACGGCCTTGCTACTCTCCGCGCTGTTTTTGTTTTGTGTGAGGTGGTCTTGCTATGGAGTCCAGGCTGGCCTTGAACTCTATGGAGCCCAGGCTGGCCTCCAACCATGATGATCCTCCTGCCTCGGCCTCCCCAGTGTGTCCCACAGAAGAGGAAACACGCTGAGCACTCAGTAGGTGGCACTGATGGCCAGGCGCCCGCTGAGAGGCTGCGCACACCACAGGAATGCCCAGGGCTCACAACCGCAGCAGCTTGGTGCTCCCTCCCGCCCAGAAGACCACAAACACCGACACCCTCTCCTTCCACAACCTGAGTGTCACGTCCCTCCAAAGCCTCAGCACCCTGAATCAGGCCCCGCCCCAGCCCAGGAACCAGCTGACACCCCCGCTCCTCTGCTCTGGATTGGATTCTCCCTGCACAAGCTGGGCCCTGGAACACGCTCACCAGTGCACACAGCCGTTAATCCCTTCTCAGCAGAGGCTCAGCCTTGAGCCCTGCCCCGCCACGCAGAGTCCCAAACTGCAGTAAACACCGCCTCGCAGGGCAGGCACGAGGGGGACGGCGGGAGGCGTGTGCGTCCCCTCACCTCTGGGCCACCGCAGGCTGTATCCACCCCCCACCACCCCCACAGCGACCTGAGGAGCTGCATCCTGCCGACCTGGGAAGAGGGGAGGGCGAGGAGCGAGCCTTATCAGTTTCCCACTAAAAGGGTGACAGAGAATCAGACACGGCAGCACAGGCTTAAGCAAAGCACGTGGGAGGCTGAGGCAGGATGATCACAAGTTTGAGCCTTGCCTGGACAACTTGACAACTTAGCGAGACTGTTTCAAAATAAAAAAGGCCTACAGATGTAGCTCAGTGGTAGAGGGTCCCCCCGATTTGAAACCCAGTATTGCCAAAAAATTTTTTTAAAATAAACAGGACGCTAGAGGAACAGGAATGGAAGACCTCCAGTTCTCACTTCTGTAGCAGCTGCCCAGCCGGAGCCCCAGCCCCAACCCCAGCACCCAGGCAAAGCAAGTGCGTGAGGTGTCGACCTGCAGCCCCAGCCCCAGGGCCACACCTTGGGCCCCAGAAGAAAGCTCAGAGCTGCGAAGCTAGGGGACCCAGTGGGAAAGGAAACTTGCTGTTTACAAGGAAGGGGGCGGGGCTGGGAAACCAAAGCTCAGAGGGGCATTGCCTAATGGGGTGGGGAGGGCACTATCACCAAAGGGGCGCCCCGCCCTGGGGCAGAGGTTACCAGATGGGCAGCCCTCCCCACCCGCCTCCCAGAAAGAGGAAGGACCTTGCAACATCCAGGGAGGGCGAACCATTGGCTCCGACTGGCACGGAGAGAAGGGACACAGATGGAGGCCAGGCCCTGGCCCGCACCTCCGGACCCCTGTCCTGTTCCTGTCACCTGGGGAAGGGTGGGTGGTCCACACACCGGTCACAGGACACCAACCCTTATCCTCTCTAAAAATCCCACCCTGCCAGGTGTGATGCCACAGGCCTGAGATCCCAGCACTCTGGGAGGCTGAGGCAGGAGGATCGAAAGTTGAATTCCAGCCTATGCAACTCAGTGACACCTTGTCTCAAAATAAATAAATAAAAAGCTGGTGAGGTACTAAGTACGAAGTCCGTAGGTTCAAGCTGCAAAGAAAAAATCCCAAGCCAGGCCTGGTGGCTATAATCCCAGCACTTGGGAGTCCGAGGCCGGAGGATCGCTGCAAGTTGCAAGTTCGAGGCCAGCGTGGGCTACAAAGTGAGCTCAAGGCCAGCCTGAACTGCACAGCGAGACCCTATCTCAAAAGGACAAAAAAAAAAAAAAAAAATCCCACCCTGGCAGGAAGCAGACAACTCCCCCAGCTCCAGTGCCCCAAGACCACAATATGAATCCTGCTCTCTCCAAGTGCCAGATGTACCCACTTAATGCCCAGCAAGCCTGTGCCCCATCCCAGCACGAACCGGACCAGACTTGAATGGGGGCTCCCAGAGTCCCATGCAGGGTGGAGGACAGCGGCAACAAAAGATGAAGGTTTGAGACATGGCCGCCGGGGACACTGAGGTAGCACCTGTCTGCTCTCGGTTAGGGACCTACAGGAGCAAAGACGCGAAGTTCCCGCTCCGGGCAGCTGGCGGGACCCGGGAGGGAGGGGGCTGTGGCCGAGGCAGAGGCGGCGATCCAGGAAGCGGCAGTGGCAGTGGGCTGTCAGCCAGTGCGGGCGGTGAGGCGCCCGGCCAGGGCCTGCCCTGGGGACAAAGAGACTCCCTGGCTCTGGGCAGACAGCGCTGCCCCCACACGAAGAAGGGGGCGCTGGCCCAGCCCGGCTGGCACACAGGGCGACCGTGCCCAGCAGCCAGCCGAAGCCATGTGTGGAGCACTGGGTACCCAGGCAAGGCCAGGAGCTTGCGTCCCGGAGGCCAGGAGAGGCGGACACGTTCCCCAGGTCAGCAGCTGACCGCTGTCCCGCCCGCAGTGGCCTGTTCTGCGGCTTCCACCCCCTCTCGTTCCCAGCCAGGCCCGGCTCCCTCCTCCCAGCCCTGGCCCGGCGCCCAGCCGGGCCCTGGGGGCCAGAGTTACTGTAAGCGGCCTGGCAGGCCCCAGGCCTGGCCACTGCCAGCTGGCCAGCACTGCTGCCACCTCCCACTACCTGGCCTGGCTGGCCAAGGCAGGCTACTGAGACCCCGGTCCAACCAACACGTGACCCCAGGGCAGGGGGCAGAGGTCACAGTCAGGCCTGCCAAGTCCCGAGCCCAGGCTGCGCGCCCCCTCCACTGACACAGCACCCCACCAGCCAGGGCAGCCCAGGGGGGCCGGGCGGGACGGCTCGGCTGCGTCTCCTTCCGCGGGGAGCCCAGGCGGGGTGGCGCATTGGTGTGGCGGCCTCCATGGCTCGCTCCCTGGTAGAGCTGCCATTTCCACAAACCTCGAGAGGTTTGTTTACCGCCTCAGCTTCTGTGTCCCATCCCTGGAGCTATTTATAAGGCCCTCAGTGGCCATTCACGGCTCCCTCCGCCACCCCCAACGTCAGACACAGCCGCGTTCTTCAAGGCCCACGCCCGCACCCCTCAGCCGGAGCATGCGCAGCGGCTCAGCGCCCCCAGGTCTCCCACACCCGCACTCACTGGCCGGGGACGGGGTGCTGTATCCGCTCACGGGAAGCTGGTGCGGCAGTGTGGTCAGGGCGCCCGGCGGCGACAGTCCACCCAGCATCGGGGGGAAGAAGAAGGCGTAGGGGGGCACCGGGTACCCATTGAGGTGCCCGCCCCCAGGTGTCGGGCAGGAGCTGCTATTGCTGGCCATGCCAGGAAGCCACAGTCAGAAGGGCAGGCGGACAGTCCGGTCGGGCTGTGAGGGGCTTCAGGCCGCCCCTCGCGGGGGCATGGGCCCAAGGGGGTCTGGAGGGGTCAGCCTCCCCCCTTCGGTCCTGCAGCTGCCGTCCTAGGTCAGCAAGCCAGGCCCAGTCTCCGGGGGCCCCCACTCTGCTGGGGCTGCTGGGCCGGAGGGTGTTCCAAGAGCTGGTCCCTCGGTAGAGCGGCTCTGCAAGGTGGCACCTTCCTGGGGAGTCCAGAGCGGGCCTTCAGGGTGCCACAGGGATGCCACTCCTAGACGAGCCCGGGCGAGGCGGCCTGGGGAGCCATGTCCCGCGGCACTGCAGAAAGAGGGAAGACAGGTGAGCGGCCACAGAGGCCAGGGATTCCCGCGGAGCGCCCCAACCTGGGCGGCCTGAGATTTTCCCGTGGCACCCAGCTGAGCAGACAGCTGGCACGGTGCCTGGCTGGCAGAGCCAGCCTGGGAGCAGGGCCCAGACGCGGCTGGCAGTGGCGGGAGGGCACAGCCGGGCCGGGGGTGAGGAAGCAGCCCTGAGCACCAAGAGCCTCTCACCCAGCACCCCTGGTGTAGGGTGCCCGGTGCCACCTGAGGGCCAGGCCTCGGAGGGAGGCAGAGGCTGGCTCCTTCCCCCGTGCGGGTTACCTGAGGTCAGGCGAGCGTGCGCCGGGAGGGGGTAGGCAGGAAAAGCCGCTTCCCTAAAGCGCTGGCACTTCTCAGAAAAGTGACTCCTAGGCTGGGGGGCCTGGCTTACAACACTTCCCCCCCAAATCCAGGCCCTGGTACCCCAGCTGGGTCGGTCTCGAGGGCTGGCGAGGAGGGCGTTTACACACAAGCGGAGAGGGAAATGGAAACCGGCCATGAGGCTGGTCCAGGGCAGACAGCAGGCCGGGCGGGATGGAAGTCGCCCACCCCACAAGGAAGGGCAGGAGGGGAGATGATGTGCCCGGCACGGGTGGGAGGGGGCAGAGGATGAAAGGCCAGACGTCCCCCTCCGCGGCGCGCACAGAGCCACACCCTGCTGGAACAGCTGGGCAGGGGATGCACAGATAACACCAAGAGAGACGGGGCTCGAGACACCCAGAGATTCCAGGACACAGCAGAGCAAGGGAATGAGAAACAGACCCATAGGGAGGCTTCAAATTTATTCTAATGTAATTATGCAGTAGACAGATAAACTGTAATCCCAGCACTCAGGAGGCTGAGACAGGAGGATGGCCGCAAGTTCACGTCTAGCCTGGGTGGACATAGTGAGTCCCAAGCCACCTTGGACTACAGAGCAAGACCCTGTCTCAAGAAAACCAAAAAATAAAATATAAAATAAACAGACACGTAACAGATATCATATACATATATAGCACATGATGAAAGAAGAGACACATGAAACACTCATGACCAATCAACACTATATTGACCTCTTCCCAATCCTGCGTCCTCCTCTTCCTTCTCCCCCAACATACTGACCTCAAGAATGCTCCCTAATAAATGTCTGCACACCCACTAAGGCAGATATAATAAAAGAACAGGTAGTAGCCGGGTGTGGTGGCGCATGCCTGTAACGCCAGCACTTGGGAGGCTGAGGCAGGAGGATCGTTGTGAGTTCGAGACCAGCCTGAGCTACAAAGTAAGCTCAAGGCCAGCCTGAACGGCATAAGGAAACCTTGTCTTTAAAAAAAGAAAGAAGAAAAAAGAAAAGAAAAGAAGTGGAAAGGAAAGGAAAGAAGAGGTAAGAAGTAACAGCAAGGATGTGGAGAGGTCGGGATCCCCGAACACTGTTGGTGGGACATAGAATAGCAAGCTGCTTTGCAAAAGTTTGACAGCTCCTCAAAAGGTTAAACGTAGAGTTCCCGGAGGACCCAGCAAGGCCACTCCCGAGACATACGCATGATGAGCCAGTACTCCACAGGGGCTGGGGACAGAGCTCAAGGAGAAAGCAGCGGCCAAGCACTTGCAAGCCCAGATTGCCCCCGGCGACAAAAAAGAAAAACGGTCTGTGTCCGTAAAGGTTTAGAGAAGCACTGTGTAACAGCCAAAAAGGGGAACCAACCAAAATGTCCATTAACTGATGAGTGCATAAATAAAAAGCTGTATATCCATACAACGGAATAGTATACACCCAAAAAGGGACAAAGTACTTTGAAAACAACGGTAGTTACAAAGGGTGGTGTATTGTGTGGTTTCACTTATATGAAATGCCTAGGAGACGCAAATCTGTACAGATGGCAGCTCTGTGGTTACCCAGGTCTGGCACGAGGGTCTGAAAGAAACAGGAGGTAGCTGCTGATAATACGAGGGTTCTTTCTGGGGTGATGACAGTGCTTTAAAATTGATCTGGGAGGTAGCTGCATAACCCTGTCAATCTACTAAAACCAGTGACTTGTACACTTTGCTGGGTGAATTTTTTTGAAATGTGAATTACATAGCAATAAGGGTTTTTCTTTGAAATGAAGACCATGGCGGGCATGGCGGTGTACACCTGTCATCCCAGCACTCAGGAGGCTGAGGCAGGAGGATTGCCAGGAGTTCAAAGTCAGCCTGGGCCACACAGAGAGTTCAAGGCCAGTCTGAACTACATAGCAAGACCTTGTCTCAAAACAAAAAGAACTTCCAGCACCTAGAATTCCCACACTCAGGAGGCTGAGGCAGGAGGATCACTGCGAGTTTGGGGCCAACCTGGGCAACACAGTGAGTTCAAGCCCAGCTTGAACTACACAGCAAAACCCTGTCTTAAAAAAAAAAAACAAGAACAGCAACAGCAACAACAAGGAAGAGAAGGAGGAGGAGAAGGGCCCGGCGTGGCAGTGCACCCCTGTAATCTCCCCACTCTGGGAGGCCGGAGCAGGAGGGTCACAAGTCCAAATCCCATACTGACAATTTAATGAGTCCTTGTCCCACAATTTAAAAATACACAAACACAAAGGGCTGGGGACTTAGCTCTGCACAAAGGTCCTGGGTTCAATCCCCAGTACTAAAAAAAAGAAAAAGTAACAGCCACAGAGAGCCAAAATATGGGCCATCCCTTTGTCCCTTTCTCCCGTCCTGCATCCCGGCCCCCGACCTCAGCAGGCCCAGGCCCCAGGCTCCAAGGCGGGCGAGCGGCCAAGGACACCGGACCAGGCCTGCCATGGAGGCGGGGCTCCTGGCCAGACCTGGGGGAGAGGCCGAGACTTCCGGGCCCACCTGGCCCAGCCCGCCGGCCTGCAGCGGGGGACCGGCCTGGCTGAGGCGACGGCGCCTGAGCGGAGCCGGGCTTCGCTGACGACCCCAGCGCCTCTGTGACTCCCGCCCCCAGCAAGTGGGGTGCCCTCTCCCCGCGGAGAGGGTGACGTCAGAGCCGCGGGCTCCGCCCACCACACCAGCTGCTGCCCTGCCCCCCCAGCCCCGCGGGGCCCACACAATGGGAACTCGAGCTGGGGGAGCGCGGGAGGGGCTGGCCGAGCACGCGCGCGTGCGCGCGCGCACACACACACACACACACACGCATGCACGCACGCACATGCTGAAGCGCACGCGTGCAGGTCTGCAGCAGGCACCTGGCTGGGCAAGCGCGCGCCTGCAGAGCCAGCCCGAGTGTGCAGACAGCTCCGGCCAGGGGCTGGGAGCATCTCACACCTGTGTCACCGCTCGGGGGCACAGCTTGGCGCACGCCCTGTGCGCGCTTCCAGGGCAGTACCCCACGCGACCACCGTTGCTGTCCTTCCTTTCTTTTTCTACCAGACAGGGCCTCACCCGGGAGCTCAGGCAGGCTGTAGCCCCCTGGCCTCGAACTCTTGCCTCGGCCTCCCTAGCGCTGCGATTGATTAGATTGATTACAGGGGACCCCCCCCCCCCCGCACACACACCGCACCTGGCCACCCACTTTCTAATGTAGGCCGCTGGCCGGGCCGGCCCTGACCCTGCTCTCAGGTCCTCCGAGGGCCTCCGTGGGGGCCTGGCCCCTGGCACATGCACAGGGCCCCTCTGCTCAGCCCAAGGCCCGCAGCCCTTGGAGGGGACTCCCGCCAACACACAAGCGCCTCCCTCCAGCCCGGAGGCTCCCTGAGCCTGCAAAGCTATTCACTCCAGACCCCCGACTCCCTAACCCAGCTTTTAGGGGCTGAGGGGGCACCCAGTTCAGAACTTCCAGAGCCCAGCCTTGCCCTTCAGAGAAAAGATAACTTGAGCCACTTTGGCATGAACACCTCAAGCTGTGCACAGTGGAGCAGGTCTGTAATCCCAGCTACTGGGGAGGCCGAGGCAGGAAGATCGCAAGTTCAAGGCCAGCCTGGGCAAACTGGTGAGACCTTATCCCAAAATAAACAATAAAAAAGTGCTGGGATATAGTTCAGTGTGAAGGCCCCTGGGCTCAATCCCTAGGACTGAAAAATGAATGCCTCACCTCTGGCCCCGAAAGTTTGAAACTGGATCACACTCGACACTTCCGACACACCCACACCCAGGGAGGGGCCCAAGAGCCTCTAACCCGGGTAGCCTAACCCAGATCCCTGCAAACTCGCGCTGCACATAGGCTCCCTCCTTGGGAGGACCCTGAGCTGAGGGAGGGGCAAAGGTCACAGAAATGGGCTGAGAGCCAGGGCGACGGGGAACAGGGACAAGCCGGGCAAGGATGCTGGGGGCAGGGCTGAAAGAACTGAGGCCCTGCCCCAGTCGGTCCTCTGGGGGCCAGGACATTTAGACACCAGAGCCTCGGTCCCCTGCACCCAAGGGTAGAGAAGGCCCCTTCAGAGAATTGAAACCAGCACCAGAGAGGGAAAACAAACTACCCACATCCAACCTCCACCCTGTGCCCGCCACCCCCATGCCCAGGGGCAGGCACCCTCCCTCGAGAGAGAAAAAACCACAGGTCCACATGCACTGAGCCCAGCAGAAAGGGGTGGGGGCTGGAACCGCTGCTTGCCTGGGCCTCTCTCACTCAAAAAGGCTGCCAGGATCACTGCCATAGCCTCAGGCATCCCAGCTACGCAAGCAGGATACCCCAGAGCCACCCCGCTAGAGGAAAGGGTGAGTTGCCTGGATGAAGAAGATGGAAGAAAAACCCAGAGGTCTGAAGTTTCAAATCTCAGCTCTGCCACTCTGGGTGACCTTCAGCAAGTGGCAGCACCTGCCTCAGCGTCTGTTCACGCGCCCGTCGTGTATGACCTGGGCGCTAAGTGGCAGACGCCCAGGGCCAGTGCAAGGAAGGCCGGCACCTCCTCCCCAGCCTCTCCCCACAGGGCTGGGAGGAAACTACCGTGGTCCACAGCCCGCTTCCCCCAGACGGAGGAGGGGGCGCAGGGAACGGATATCGGGGTGTGGGCGGAGGCCTGACCACAAGCCTTTCCCACATTCTCTTCTTGCATTTCACAAACCAAAAAAGGGAAACCTTTGGATTTGGCGAGGGAAGGGGAAGAGAAATAGACCGTTTCCTCCCCTCCCCTTGGGGGAGCGGGGCCAGGGGGCCCCCAACCCAGCGGGGCCAGGCCTCTCTTCATTCATTCTCTCCTCTGTCCCCCAAAACAAGGTTCCCCAAGAACGGAGGGGAGCTGAGAAGCAGGG